AGACTGATGGTCAGACTGAGAGGACCATTCAGACGTTGGAGGATATGCTGAGGGCTTGCACCCTGGAGCAGGGTACTGCATGGGATCGATATCTTCCGCTGGTTGAGTTTTCATATAATAATAGTTTCCATGCTAGTCTGGGTATGGCTCCCTACGAGGCCTTGTATGGTCGCAGGTGTAGGACACCTACTTGTTGGTCAGAGGTTGGAGACACAGAGCGGTTTGGATTGGATTTTGTTCAGGAGACTACTGAGCAGATTAAAATGATTAAGGATCGTCTGAAAAAGGCTCAGGATCGTCAGAAAAGTTATTATGATCTCAAGCACCGGCCTCTAGAGTTTGAGGAGGGAGATCATGTGTTCCTGAAGCTGTCACCGGTTACGGGTGTGGGACGAGCCCTTGGAGTGAGGAAGCTGAGTCCGAGATTTATTGGACCCTACCAGATTCTTCGTAGGGTGGGACCGGTTGCCTACCAGCTTGCCTTACCTCCGCAATTGGCAAATTTGCATGATGTGTTTCATGTTTCTCAGCTGAGGAAATATGTAGCTGATCCTTCTCATGTGGTTCAACCTGATAATGTTGAAATCCGGGAGAATTTGAAGACTCCTGTTGGACCATGAAGATACTCGAAAGAGATGAGAAGAAGCTGAGAAATAAATCTATTCCTATGGTGAAAGTCCAGTGGGAAGGAAGGACGCCTGAAGAGTCCACTTGGGAGCGGGAAGATGAGCTTCTCCGGCAATATCCTGAGTTTAAGGACAGGTACGTTCTTGATTTTGAGGACAAAATCGCTAAAATGTGGGGTGATTATAATAGCCCAACTTAATTAATTAGTAAATCTAGTGTAATTAATTAATTAAACATGTTTTGGTGAGTGAAATTAAGTATAATGCTTAATTAAATGAATTTGAGTCACTTTGGAGTTAAAAAGTGTACTCAGTGAAAATTAAGGGGTATAAATGGGTACTGACAAAAGTACCCAAAATATAAAAATAAAAATAGTAATATTCCTAGAATAATATTCCAGACTTTTGGGTAAAGTTTGGTAATTATTGGAGTTGAATAGATAGACGAACCAATACCCACATAAGTCACTTAACCAAGTAAGTGACTTAAAAACACAAAAGAATGCCCATTTTTCCCACCCAGCCCGTCGACGCAGAACAGAAAGGAGAAGAGAAGAGAGGGAAGAAGAAAAGGGAAAGAGAGAGAGAGAAAGCAAATCTCAACCAAATCCATCCGTTCAAAAGCCTAAACCACTCCAAATCTCCTCCTCTTTCATAATCCTTGCTTTGTTTTGAGTGGGGAGCATTGTGGAGAGGGATATTGCCTCTCAAAAATTCGGCCATTGGAGAGATTTTGGGGTTTTGGGAAGTTCAACCTCCATGGGAGCTTGAGGAACACTCCTTGCTTGGTTGTGTGACCATTGGTGGTAAGATTCTAACCCTTGAACCTCATGATTCCTTGAAATTTGGGTTTATGAATAGTAAATTGGGATTTTGATGAAATGTAGTTGAATTAGCTATGTTCTAGGAAGAATGGAGCTTAGAGCATGTTATGGAAAATGCTAGGAATGTCATTTAATCGGTGAAAATGAGCTTAGATAGCTAAATGAGTATACTTGTAAAATGGCAAGAATATGATGCTTGATATTGGATTCCTTGCATTGTTGATAAATGGAATGGCTTGGTTGATTGATGATTGTGTCCTAATGATGTCTAGGATTGAGACATTTGGACCGACCGTGAGTGATCAACCGCTTGAACAAGCTATGGAGCTTGAGTAGCTCATTGGAATTGGTAAGCTCACACTTGTGTGGGGTTTTGAATTGAGTATTTGATGGTTGATTGTGAAATACTCTTGGATGCAATGTGTTGATTGCATTACACCATGTGTAGGTGTTGGTTTTGGAGTAGAGTATTGTTGACATTGGTGAAGAACAAAGGTCGACTGAAGCATTGAGGTAAGCCTTCGGACCTTGGGTGTAATTCCCTTGACTGTTCTACCAAGCCCTGAAAGGGTAGAGGTTGTGATTGTGTATATAAATGCAATAAAATAGTGTAATGCTTTGTTATACGTATGGGTATGCATTTGGTGTGGCATAGGATGGTGTTTCCCTATGTTGGTATGTTGCATGACGATGCGTAAATCATACTTGGTAGTTAGCTGGCCGGTAGGACTATTTGCATCTGAGTTTCCTTAGGACAGCTTGAGAGCTCGAGGGATTTCTCTTGGAGATGTAGTGCACTTTGCATAGATATGTATTTACTGCATTATTATTGTTATTGCTATTACACTGATATGGAACTGTGGGGTGGAGAGATGCTCCAAGGACCCCTGGTTTACTGGATATATTCGTATATCTCACCCCGTGTTGTGGGGACCCCCTTTCAGGTAAGGATGCTGCAGGAGCCTCTGGTGGCAAGTGGCCATATCTGGATTATGCCTGAAATGTGGCATTCCCTTTGAGTTTATGCATGCCTTTTGTAGTTGACATGTATAGGATTTTATTTTGAAAGCCCATGTTCATTTGTATATCTTGATTCATTGGATGAACTTAGCCTATGCTCATGCCTTTGGTTACACCTTTTGTTGATGGGAGCCAAGGGAATGATCATAGTGTTTTGTAAGCTAAGTTCTATGATTTGTAAAGGATATGTAATGTAAATGATGCCTACTTGAAATTCAATATATGCATGCTTGTTATGTATCGAGTTGTTGAATTGGTTGGGCTGAAAATCAATTAGGTACCCTTTTGTTTAAACTGGTAAACGATGAGGAAACAAAGGTCATGCTGCCCAAATTCTAGCTAAATCTCATGAGGAGAGGTTGGATGAGTGCTAGGATTTAGTTTTGGGGCATGGACAATTGGGGTTTGTAATGGGGATGCATTTTCCCCTAGGCTTGGACTTGAGAAATGTGGGAATTGGAATTCCCTGGCAGCGCGCTTAAGCGCCCAGGAGCGCGCCCAAGCGCCCTGCTGCCCCTGCGAGTGCCAATGCATTCTGCCTCCTCGCGCTGGAGCGCCCAAGTGGGGCTTAAGCGCCCAGGATTGCGCGCTGGAGCGCCCTGGCGTGCGCTTAAGCGCCCTTTGCTGCAGAAAGTTGGGTGGCTTACTGCCCCCTCGTGCTTAAGCGCCCAGGGTTGCGCGCTTGAGCGCCCTGGTCCGCGCTTAAGCGCCCTTCGCCACTGAAGGAGGAGATGCTTCTGTCTCTACGCGCTAAGGTAATACGGTTATGATCACGGAATTGGGTATTATAAATTCGGTATGTTTTAAAATGAAAAATTTATCCAGATTTTAATTGAACCCATGTGATTGTAACTGCGCTTAATATCATAATGCGATGTTAACAAACCGGTTCTAGAACGGGGTGTTACAGTAATATCCAAGGGTTAGGTTTTATTATTCCATTTGATGTCTGACCTATGTCCAAGTAAGGTTTCAGCAGAACTTGATACCACCAATAATTCCCAAAACCAAACTCAAGCATCAGAACTTGATGGATCAATTATTGCTCTTCTAATCCACTTACCAGATAACAAAAAAGAAAAAGAAATAAACACGAAATTAGAAGAAGAAGAAGAACAAAACCATACTTCTGTGAAGAAGAAGAACGAGTAGAAAAAAAAATTAGAAGAGCTATCGACTACAAAGAAGAACCGGGAGAAGAAGAAATCGGAAGAGTGTGAAGAAGAAAATCATGACAAGAAAGAAAAATTGGGGATTTAGGGTTTGGATAAAAAAGAGTGGGCTGATTCGCGGTTAACCCCACCCTCACTACTAGAAAATGAATTTTTTTCGACCGAAAAATTCCGTCGAAAATGGTTAAAATTCCGTCGAAAATAAGTTTTTGACGGAATTTTCGACGGAAATGAAGCCGTCGAATATGCCTTCGTAGGTAACAATATTTTCGACGGAATTATAGATTCCGTCGAAATTTTTCAACGGAAATAATTTCCGTCGAATTTTTTTGACGGAATAATTTCTGTGCAAAGTTTCGACGGAAAAATAATTCCGTCTAAATTTTTCGACCGAAAATAAATGAAATTCTGTCGAAAATCTTGTCTCAATTTTCGACGGAAAATAAATTCCGTCAAAAAATTTCGACGGAAAATGAATAAATTTCCGTTGAAAAATCTTGTATTGATTTTCGACGGAAAACAAATTCCGTCTCAAACTTTCGACGGAAAATGAATGAATTTTCGTCGAAAAAACTTGTAATGATTTTCGACGGAAAATAAATTCTGTCGAAAATTTTAATATTTTTTTTATCTTGTGAAATCTCATCGGGACTATATTGTTTTGGATAAACTACGGGTATCTTTCACAGGAGACAATTTTTTTGAGACAGATCTGGGATTAAAGTTTTAAATCCTTTCTAAAGATAGTATTGGGCCAAAAGTAATTTAATATAATATAAACACTACATAAAAATTGTCTTTAGGTAAGTAGATTTTGCAACGTTAAGAATCGCAGTAAAACTTTAAAGCATCATGAACTCTATTCCGTAACAAAAAAATAGAGAAATAAGGCCAGATCCATCTATTCATTAAGCCTAATCCATATATTTTTTTAGGGGTTGTTTGGCTGGGGAATTTTCTTTTAGATATCCAGGAAAGTGAGGGGTTTTATTTTCCCACTTTCACTTGCATAGACATCCTCAAAAATACCCCAATCAAACACTACCTAAAGAATTATGTTTAGTATCACATTTCAAAAAATTTATCTGGGAAAGTGAGGAAAAGTGATTTACTTGGGAATCCGTTTTGTGTCTAAACAGTGAATGCAAATTTCATACAAGAACCACCCATTGCTAAGAAAAATAGAAAAAGTATAAGAAAAACTGACAAGAATAGGAAACTTATCCAATATTTTCGGTATTATTTTTTACCTATCAAATAATTTTTTTATAAAATTATCGAAAAACTCACTTTCCCACCAACCATATTACAAGGAAGCATGATTTTTAGATAATAAACACTTTCTCCACCACCAAACGCCTAAGTTCTCAAATGCCCTTGTTTATCTCTCTATCAGATGTCAAGCACAATAGACATACATTATCAGAGAAGAAACTTCTACGGTGAAGACGAAGCCCTAGAGCTCAATTCGCCTCAATTGTCAAGCTCGTGAAGGTCGCTGTCTCCAACGGTGAAGAGGGTGAATATCAAATTCTAGATCCGTGTATATTTTTATCTTTTTCTATCAATTTTTTGTGTTTTTTTATTTAAATTGTTTTGGTGATTTTGTTGGCTAAAATTTAGGGCTTTTACTTGATTTGTTTGTAGCAAAGCCAAGCTGAGCTCTAATGGAAGGAGCTAGATGCAGGCACTATGAAGTTCCTAAAGCACAAGATAACAAGAAGATTATGTGTAAATGAGTGTAGTTTGCAATTCACAATTTTTTGTTGGGTTTATTGTTTCTGTGGTTCATATTACAACATTTTGTATGGTGGTTTATGTTGATGAGCTCTTCTTGTTAACTGTGTAGTGGTTGTTTCATTTGGATTGAGGTATATTATGTGTGTGCATTATGTGGTGACCATTATCTGCTTTACATTGTGTCACTACATTGATTGTTAATTGAGCTTGAACTGGTTTTTCCCTTCTGTGATTAATATTATTGATTTCCTGTTACTAGCCTGTGGTTTGCATTGTCCGGTCTGTCATCTTCATTTTAACTGCGGAATTGGTGACCTGAGTTGTGATTTTCCTTTACTATTCCCTCTAGTTAACCGAACCACAAATGAGCTTGTTGTAGCCATCTCTCTTGATAATTTGGGGTCATCATATTACCTACTGGACATTCCTTTGTTGCCACTTTTGGGTTCTTTTCCTTGTTCATCAATAATCTTCATTTCCCTCATATTTTTCTTACCTGTTTCAGCTGCAATATGGCCCCAATGACTGGTGAACATGTGAAACACACACTTCAGCAACACCTATTTAGGAGCACAATATTATTGGTATCACAGGTTTTTTTTTACATACTCAAATATATATGTTCTTATCACATGTGCTTGGTTGTTTAACTGCTTCTCATGTTTACATTTTCTTAAATGCTATGTTATTTGATGTTGTCAACTATTTACTTGTTGAGTTGCTGAGACGACACGACTCACCTTTAAGTTTGGTGTGGTATGCTCTGTTCACTTGTGCATAATGCTGAATTTAGTGAAAGTGTGAAAAATTTAAAAATTTAAAATGACATTGAGTAGTATTATGTATAGGTAGATGGGAGTGGAAAGTTAAATAGACGCACTTCTCTAATTTATCAGTGCATAACATCCTCTAGCATATATTCAGTTTCTAATTGTCTTTGATTTCTTGTCAGCTTAGTATTCAATTTCATTCTGATTTATGAATTAACCATGTATCAACTAAGTTCCATTTCATGAGAAAAGTTCTAACATAGCTTAGCTTAGCCAATGCCTTAGTCACCGGACTGATACCTTAGAGAGGATTTGAGCCTAAAAACTTAATTTTCTTTGCTGAGTGGTCACTCTACATTGGAGTCCTTACTTAATTTAAGTTCTAGGTGACTGGTCTGAGCATTTCCATATGAAGGGCAATTGTTTCTAATTGTTTAGTCTAGAGTGAAAAAGCTCACCTTTTCATTGTATGTAATCTCTTAAACCCCTTATTTGAGCCTGAACCTTTTTCTTTTCTGTTTATGTAACCTGGAAGTAAAAGCCCATTTCCCCTATCTACTTTTATTGGCAAGCCATAGTATTTGGCTAATTCTCACTAGGCTGAAATACAAGAAAGTAGATAAAGCTAAGAAAAGAAAAAATAGAAGGTGATTAGGAGGAGATTAAAAAAAAGAAGATAAAGTAGCCGAAGTAAAAAAAGGGAGATAAATGTAAAAAAGGGGGAAAAGAAAACATGAAGTAAAATAAAAAAACCCTGTCCATTTTGAAAAGAAAAAAAATAGAAAAGTAAGTGAATGTGAAAAGTTGAGATTGTAAATAAAAAAGAGAAGGAGGGTAAAGAACAAGTTGGAATAACAATAAGGGAAGAAAGTTGAAAAAGTAAAAAAGAGATCAAAGCGAGCTTTCCCTTGTCTTATTTAGGCAATAGTCTACAAGGCTAGATGAGGATTAATCAAACACTTAAGGCCAACCTAAATTTGCCAAGTGTCCTGAAAAATAATTGTCCAAACCAATTACAAGCCTAAAAGACCCTTTGATGGAAATGGCTCACTAGATATCAAGTGTCTAGGGAAAATTAGGAAAGATACAACAATGTAGTGTGATGATGAGTGAATTACCTTAAAAAGAGAAAGAGTGGAATGAGTGAAAAGAACCCAGTGAGGAATTCAGTGAATAGGAGTGGTTTGATATGAGTTATGTGGGTGACTGCTTGATATGAATTGTAACACTAGTTGCTGTTTGCTTAATTGATAACTTAACATGAATCGAGTCATTGGTCTGATGTGGATATTAATGATTGATTGATGTTAGTAGTTGAAATGTAAGGTGATAAATGGAAAATTGAACTGTAAGATTATTGCACCTCTTAATTGATAAATTGACATGTAAAAGAAAGGAAAAGAACATAGGTTAAACACTTGATACTTGAATGTATGCTCGAGGACAAGCAGATTCTTAAGTTTGGGGTATTTTGTTAGCTTTGAATTTTGGTTACCTCAACAACATATTGCCCATGCTATTTGGCTGTTAATGATTTAATTTGCAAGTGAATGGGCCCAAAAATTGTGAGAAAGTGGCCCAAGTATGTATCTAACTTTGTGAATGGAAACTTTGTCATTTTTACTCACATTTTACCATGTTCTAACGAGAAGTGAAGCCACGTGGACATGTTATTGAAGTCGGGATGCAGTGGACCGTTGGATGAGCCTACAAATGGATGGACAACAATGACCTAAGCTCTTGGAATTAGTTTTCTTAGGGGGTGTTTGTTTCAAGTTTTTGAAGAGGATTACCGGGAATCCTTCTTTGGTAAATGTAATTACCACGTTTGGTAGAAGGAATAAATTACGATTCCCGGATATCCAAGGATTACCGGTAATTTGATTTATAAAGAAAAGTCACTATTCAGATTACCAAAAATAATATGGTAATTCGGAATACCAATCAGAATACCAAGCAAAAGGGAAAGCACAACAATAAATTTTGAGACAAAAATACTCCAATACACATAAAAATCTAGACCCAATCTATCAATTACAAAAGTAAAAATAGTTTGGGGTTATTTTTGTAAAATAACCTCATATTCCAAGTCATATTTCGTTCTAAACCAAATATGGAATTAGTAATTTTTACTCAATATTCCCGGTAATATTTTGGCGAACCAAACACCTCTTTCGTGAGATTCCAAGTAAACTCAATTTTTACTGAATTCCCATTAATCATGATTCCGGTCACCAAAAAATTTCTCTTGTACCAAACACACCCTTAGTGTTTTTTAGGTATATTAGGAATCAGTTCTATGACTCTTGAGTTTTTCAATTTTTACAAGTTCCATTTTTCAGTTTGAGTTGTAAGTTCTTTAAAAGCAAGCACTTGAAAGGAAGATTTTCTTGGAGGAGCTCAAGAAGATCAGAGTTTTAAGTGCACTTTCCGATTTCAACACTTTTTCGTTAAGCATTTTCCTTTATGATCAATTACTTCGAAGCTATGGTCTGTAATCTGATACCCGTTTACTTTTGAAGATCGGTTTAATGCATCGTTATAGTAGTTTCAGCTTTTCTTTTGAATTTTCTGTTAATATGAGTTTCTAATTTTCTCTTCTGAAATTTTGAATGGATTGAAGAGTACCCATTAATTCTAATCATCTGTTATGCATGTTTTTTTTTTTAACAGAACGTTGTACACCGGTATTGTTAATATTAATTATGATATTAAGTGCAGTTAGAATCACATCAATTCATTTAGGTGGTGTTTGGTTGGGAGCTTTTCAGCGGATATTTATGTTTCTCAAGTATGGCTTTTAGAATCACCATGTTTGTTTCAACGTATTTTCACCAAAAACTCATCTATCTAATTTGTATGGATTTATGAGAAACATAGATATCCGCACTGTTTAGAAACCCAATTTGAAGGTGAGATTTTTCGGAAAATCGGTTATCTGGCTTTTAATGCACTGTTGATTTCATAAAGTTACCTAATTTTTTCCAGTAAAGTTTTTCCCCACCAAACAACTTTTTTTTACATTTTTTTACCTATCTCATTTTATCTATCTTTCCAATCATTTCTCTATATATTACATTTTTCTACTATTCCAAAAATTTTTCCTCAACCAAATGCCCCCTTATAAAAATACGAGTAAACTTTTTTCGTCTATTACGCGAGCGTTTAAAACAATAAAAAGTGTAATAATTAAAAGCTGTGACCGTAACTGTAAACTCTCTGCGAAATAATTATTTAAACTACTTTTATAACATATATTACTTCTCTCAAGTCACTAAGGGGTTCCCATAAATCCACTTAGCCTACACCTCAATCTATCCATGCTTTATACTAAATGCCTTCCCTTTTTTATTTACACAAAGGATTTTATACCTCACCAATGTTCCTCACTTCCTAATATGTTATATATTTATTCATTAGCTTCGCGTGGGTTCAAACCGCGCTCAATTGGAGCACCGTAGCCCAAGATATGAATTTTCTAAGAAAAGGGATGCTGATTTCACAGGACCCCCGCGCTGACAGAGCCACTATTGCGCTAGAGGTAGAGAGAACGACGCTCATAGCGTCAGATTGGCGCCCATAGCGCCATGGTCCCTGCCTCCTACTAATGGGTGGCGCTAATAGCGCCAACTTGGCGCCCATAGCGCCGCAGTTCTGAAGGGAGGTACAAAAATAGGGAAGATTCGACCTATCTTGGTATTTTATCCATAATTTGAGTTATACTAATCCTATTGACACAACCTTTATCTTGTTGGAAAGGTAAAAGAAAGGTGTATAACTGCCATGAAGCTAAAGGGTCAAATTCTATCATATATGGGTGACAATTTGGGCAACACTCTCTATTTATATTTTAGAAATTTCGCCAGAGTCTCTTTTGTTTTTCTAATAATCCCCAAGTTTGCAAAAGTGTTCTATGCCCTCAATATGTACCTAATAATCATTGGGTGGCACACACAAGGACCAGCAATGCCTTGGGGCTCTTACAACCCATCACATTTTATATCAATTTACTCAATTCATAGCACATTACTTACTTTATTAACACTTAACATATTTCACTCATCAAGATCCATTTGCATGCATTTTCTACACATACTCATAATCATAATCCTAAAATAGGCCTATTGCCCTTTCATCACATTACATATACTTCATATTACACGAATCCAAATGTAATAATTACAATTGTCCAAATTACATCATAAGTAATAAAGTCTCCAAATGCAACATAATAAATAAACCTCAAAATGACATAATCCGTATGTAACTAGACTTAGGCAAAAACGACATGAACAAATATGACAATAAATCTCATCCTAAATACATATACAATGTTCATGCCCTAAGTCTAGCCTAGGCCCAACGGCCACCAAAATGCAAAATACATAATCCTACGTCTCAGTCATCCTACAGGCTTCTTGCCCACAGCTCCAGCACCACTGCTACCTCATGAAATAATGCCCCCAAAGTGGGGTGAGATATACGAATATATCTCAGTAACCCAGAGATTCTGGAGAATACTCCGTCCAATGGCTCACTTCGATGCATATAAATAACATAACATCTGTAAAACGGGATAAAGCAAGAGATTTAGTGAAATAGGGGAGCATAGGGATACAAAATACGACGAAGCTAGAATGGTCAATGCCAAAACCACGCAACGTCCAGCCTATTGGCTCGGCATATAAGCCTACGGGTTTCAACCAAGGCGTGTTCCCAGAACATCAAACCAAGACACCCTCCATCCATATCCACCCGAGACTTCCTAGTGTGCTCCTATCCGAATCACACACCACGACCCCAGGTCAACTGGAACTCCCTCTCGGAGACCTATCCAGTGGAAGTCCGTAACGCCCGAAGGCAAACTGTCTACTGGCCAGAGACACGGTACATCCTATGTACCAACACACATACTATATGCATGAACATGTTATCCTATATTACTTACATACACTTCCTACCATTACCCTCAACGGGCATGGTGGAACACACAAGCGGATCAAGTCCCAGCACCAAGAGGTTACCTGTATAATCCTCTCCACGTAGCTCCAATGCAATATATTTTCCGAGCTCGTTACACAACATAAATGCCTACACAGAGGACATTCTCAATTAATTACCATTCATACAAACACATGCAAGTTACTAATTCTACAAGCATGGTTCCAAGATACTCACCATAATCCCACTTGGTCCGGGACCAAGGGCAACCCACCGAGCTCACGGTTTGGGGTTCAGATCCATGTACGGTAACCTACAATGGCCATTTACAGATCATCAACACACGACAAATCTATCAAAATCCAAAAACGTCAAATTCTCCTCCCCCCATAAGTGAGGTTCGGCCATTAGTGTGTTATTTTACAAAATATTTTTCTTTATTTTCTTTCTAATTTTCTTAAGCACTCTTAGGTTACCAAAATACCATTTTAGGTGCCAATTTGCATCCTACATCATTCAAACATCATTTTGCCAATTGATTTGCTCTAGGTTCAATTCCACAATTTCACACTATCCAATATTTTTCCATTGATTTTCCAACCTTCCAACCATCATACAACCCTTCTAGTTACCATTTATCACACAACAGATCATCCAAATAATTTTTACAATCTCACATTGCTCTCTTTTCCTCTCTAGGCCGAAATCATCATAGGTGCATCCCAAGGGATTTCCAATCCAATTCAATTATTTCATACCTCATACAATTCCATTATAACATCATACAACCATCCAACCATCCAATTACACAATCCTAACAACAATCTCCAACACAAAGTCATGGCATCATCCAAATTTCCACTAAGTTAAACTCATTTTTCACCAATAAATTTTATTGCATTTATAGCTCCAACACATCGTTCTAAGACATATTCATCTAATAAACAATTTCCATTTGAGCTCTCTAACTACACAAATCATACAAAACCACTCTAGGGTTCATAAATTCAAATCAACAAGTCAACCAATAGAAAGTGATGAAACTTACTCAATAGTTTGGCCTAAGGCTCCTCCAAGACATACTAAACCATTGGAGCTCCAAACAACTCCATGAACACAAATCTACAACACATGGCCGCGGGTTTTGGGGGGTTTTCTCAAAATGTAGTGGGTTTCATGGCTTAATACTACTACCAATGAGCTTGGAAGGTTGTTTCCAACAAATTTCAAGACAAAAATCACTTGATTCAGTTGAGATTTGATTAAGTTAGGGGAGATTAAAGTTTCAAGCAATTTTTGGCCATGGAGGGGGTGAGGCTCGGTTTTGAGAGAGAGAAAGGGAGGGGAAGATGATCATGAATAGTGGCTTGCCATGTGTCTTTGATTTAAGTGGGGTGGGTTCCACTGCCACCTCACGCTATTTCAAACTAATTCGAATTTTCCTCTGATTTCCACTAAACATCCATAAATTCATAACCTATTTAGAATCTCTAATTTTTAACATTAACCATTGTCCTTTAATTACTTTTGATCAGATGAATCCTGAGTTTTTCGATCGTTCGGAGAAAATGCAGTTTTAAGCTGTTACGCGCGCTGTAGGCACGCTTCCCCAAACTTACTAATTTCTGTCAAATTTTATCAGAAATCATATTTCCTAGTTCTATAAACCATTTATAACTTGTATTCAAAACCTAGAGCTCAAAACTCAATCGGCACTTTTTATGGTGAAATCGTACCGCGGTATTTTTACCCGTAAAAATACTATTTACTGAATTTTCTGAAACTTGCCTAACCACTCAATTTCTCGTTCTGAATCCATTTCCAGGGTTATTTTCATCATTTGAGACCTTCTACTCAATTTTATCTTCCTAGGGTTGTGTGTTTGGCTATTTATCGTTTTACCCTTTCTTTGTATTTTAGCCTAATTTCTAGGATTTTCATTATTCCTTCACTTTAATCCTCATTTAATATATTAATATAAGATTTAGAAATGCGAGGTGTTATATTTTTTGTTTTTCAATTAGCAAATTTTCTTGTTTGAGAGCTATGAGAATGGTTCTTGAAATCTTTTCTACATGATTCTTTGATTGGGAAATCAAGTTTTATGATTTTTGTTAGTTGAAAGCTTCAAGATTAGGGATAATCTGAAGTGAAATTTGAGAATTTGACCACAACTAGACAGTAGCACATTTAAATTTCCCATGTTCCTAGGCGTAAATAATATTGTTCTAAGCTAAACTTGTATATATGAATTGTATACATGTATAAAAAACCTATAACCTACTTTCTAAATAGACTTTTTAAAAAACATGAGTATGTTTCATTTGACTATCTGTAATAGGTTGAGTCTAACCTGATATAGGTTGAGTCGTATGTCCCTGCTAAGCCGCCTAATCCATTTATACCCAATAAATTCTCTCATGTTTGATTCTAATCAAATTTCATTAATTTGATTATGTAAGTTATGCATCTAAACCAATCGGTTCCTTAATAAAAAAACATGAATGATACTTGTATTGATAATAAAATAGAATTTTGGATCTCTAATAGTAATTTGATTGATGATAAACAAAAGGAATTTTTGGTTCAATACCCTAAACTACCAAAAAGAAGAAGAAGAAAGGACCGGTCAAGTTTTATTAAGTCTCATTCATAGTAATCATTTATAAAAGAGTAAATCTTTATCAAATGATTGTAAGATCTCATCAATCCACAATAATTTTGATGAAAAATTAATATTCAACAATTAAAATGATCATCTCATCTTCTTAACAATTATTATATACTTAACCTTCTTTCAATTTTATTATTATTTTTTTAAAAAGTATGACAGTAAAATATAGAAATTTAAATGACCATTTTAATTATTGACTTATTTATCATTAAAACTCAGGAATAACTGCTAGTATGATGTGATGATCTTTAAAAGAAGGGTTATATATATATATATATATATATATATATATATATATATATATATATATATATATATATATATATATATTACTAGTGTATTACCCGTGCCGATGTACGGGGGAAAAATCAATTTGTTTGTCTCGTAAAAGTTTACTTAAATTTAAAATAAATATTATGAATAATATTTTTTGTTAAAATATAAGAGCATGATGTAGGAATAAACAAAAAAGATATATCTTTCTTCAGTCTCAAAATATCCAAGTGATTTGCAACTTAATATAATGTATTTGTAATAAAAAGAATTTAAACGTTGTGCTTGAATAATGTTGGATGAAGTATATTTGGAAGATAATATGAGAATTAAAATACAGCAACTACACAATTTATAATGACAGAACACAAACAAAACGCTAAACGATGAAACTCGACTCTTCATATTCATGTATTTCGCAAGACGTGCTGAGTTAAAAGACGCTTATGTCATCGCATGCGCAGACTCATGGGAATATGGAACGTCGTAGAAGAAAACATCTTAGGAAAACCTCTTCAGAGATAATTTTTAAAAAGCTTTAATGACAACACCCATCGTTTTAATGACTTTGGATGATTTTCACAACCACAAATCCTCAAATTACGTTAATTCCATAATGTCTTTGTAACAACTTCCCATAGCTGAGGTGCATCGTTTGAATGACCCAGATATCCCACGTTTCAATGACCCTGCAGCCATCACACTATCTTTTGAAATTCCAATTTCAATCCATAAAATTAAAACGTAGAAAGAAAAGAAATAAAAATATGGTATCTGTTGTTATGAACATGATTTATTATTTACTCATGACAATTTTACAGTGGGCCAAATGTAAAATTTAAATTAGTTAGTTTTAAGTGAGCCAAATTTAAAGTTAATGTTTGAGACACATTTAAACTTTAAATATTAAGAAATTCGAATTAAAATTAATGTCGTTTTGACACTGCAAGATATATTTTATTTTCAACTGTCCATGGCACATATTAACATATTTGAATTCCATTACAAAAAAAAGCGTTAATTCAATATATCAAATTTCTAAAGTGTATAAAAAAAGAAAAGAAAAGAAAATATGGTCTCAGTTGTTAAGAAATATTTAAAATATTTACTGAAAGGGATTTATTTTGTACTCATCACAGTTTTACAGTGAGCCAAATGTAAATTTTAAATTAGTTAGTTTACAGTGAGCCAAATTCAAAATACAGTGAGCCAAATCTAAAATTTAAATTAGTTAGTTTTAAGTGAGCCAAATTCAAAATACAGTGAGCCAAATCTAAAATTTAAATTAGTTAGTTTACAGTGAACCAAATTCAAAATACAATGAGCCAAATTTAAAATTTAAATTAGTTAGTTTACAGTGAGCCAAATTTGAAATACAGTGAGCCAAATCTAAAATTTAAATTAGTTAGTATACAGTGAGCCAAATTTAAAATTTAAATTAGTTAGTTTGCAGTGAGCCAAATTCGAAATACAGTGAGCCAAATCTAAATTTTAAATTAGTTAGTTTTAAGTGAGCCAAATTCAAAATACAATGAGCCAAATTTAAAATTTAAATTAGTTAGTTTACAGTGAGTCAAATTCAAAATACAGTGAGCCAAATCTAAAATTTAAATTAGTTAGTTTACAGTGAGCCAAATTCAAAATACAATGAGCCAAATTTAAAATTTAAATTAGTTAGTTTACAGTGAGCCAAATTCGAAATACAGTGAGCCAAATCTAAATTTTAAATTAGTTAGTTTTAAGTGAGCCAAATTCAAAATACAATGAGCCAAATTTAAAATTTAAATTAGTCAATTTTAAGAATAAATTGATCTTAAATCTTACACAAAACAGTAAACTTTTTGATTAAACTTTAAATTTAAAAAATACTAACAAAACGTTCAAAAAAATTATATATTTTTTTAAACGGTTATTGACATTATTTATTTACCAAACATTAAAAAAACAGTAAATTTTATATTTTTAAATTAGACGCTCAAATTTATATGAAATGTTTTAGTTGAGAAATAAGTTTGGTGAGACTGTAGATAAGGATATGGGTGTGCAATAAGGAAAAACGAAGCTGAAGTGTTGAATTATAGGTTACTGATCATTGTTAAAACAGTGATACAGTTCACAGAGGAATTGGAAAATGAAGTGATACGCCACTGTCACCAGTAAAAATCCATTTAAATCAGCGGTCATATTAAACACAAACTTTTAAATAAACGCTCGTTTTGAAAACTTCAATTTAAATCTTTGTTTAGATTAAAATCGTAGATAGGGATCTGTTTTGAAGTTAGAAATTTGATTAATTAAAAAAAAGTAAATTATTGAATTCCATTGAATAAAGGATAATAAATCAATTAGTCACATTAGCCCAATCTATGGGGTATTCTCTTTTGCTTCTGCATCAAATCTATTCAAAAGATCCCAAAAAAAAATTGAATTATGAGCATATGCACTCAACGTCAGCAAAAAAAGAAAAAAAAACACAAATATAATTTAGAAATAACGTAACTCTTTCTCAAGCTTTATTTTTTTTGCAGTCCGAACAGCTGAAAAATTAAATTCTTCAGTAATGGAATCATGAGAATTGATCATCGGTGTCAACATAGTCAGAGAAACATCACCAACGTCAGCACTATCACAGGTCTGACTCTCAACATCCTATTGTTTTTAAAAAAAATGGTACGTAAAGTAATCATGCTTAATTTTAAATTTCATAACGTCAATTTATATTCAAATAATGGCTTACCGCAGCCTTTTCTGGTTCCGACGATACAATTTCATTTTCGTGAGCATTATCGAAATTTGCTTCATCCTGTGATATAAAACAACCTATAACAGTCAACAAAATGAATAAGAAAAAATGGACATCAAATACAAATAGATAAGCAGAATACATTTGGATCGATCAGAGACTTAATGAACGCTGAGATGATGTCGTCGCTGTTACAAATTTTAGAAACTTGATATTTGGGCTCACTGTATGTGTTCAAATCCTTTTGTTTCACATTTATCCTGAAAAGCATTGACTTCTCATTCAGAACATTTAACTCTTCTGGAAATTGATCCAAATCCGAACCCTAAAAAAAATGCAGCTCGCGCAAAACGTTACAAAAAAAAAGGAATTTTTTTTAAACTAGACATAAAATATTACAACAACTACAGCGCATACAACATGCACATAACGACAAAATATACATGTTCACTATTTTACAGGAATGATAATACAAACCCTCTTGAAATGCAGCTCGCGCAATTCACCAGGACTCATTCCCAACAAAGAAACACAGTCTCGATCAAACAAAAGAAACGAAGCAGAATCTGTGTTGTCCACAACTCTGACTTGAACACTAAATCTATTGTTTTGCAAAATTATATATTAGCAAGAAATACCAGGGATTCAGATTAAAGACGATCTATAAACCAAGATAAACATATTACCTTGGATAATAATTTGCCCAATGTTTTAGACAATTCTTACAGTACCACTTCTCAAAATCCTCACAAACGGAAAATGGACATTTCTTGCAAGACTTGTACCACCAGTTGTATTTGCTCTCAATGCATTTTATAGTCCCATACATGATGCACGTTGTTACCTTAAATACAGCCATCGTAGCAAAAAAGGAGAACATCATCAAAACAGACTTTAAATCATCAATAAGGACTTGATAAAAATCAAGAAAAGCATCAAACAGACATCATTATATACCACAGAACAAAGCTTAACATCACTGATAAACTTTCTTTCAGTCTCCTTAAGAAAATCATTTTCGAAAGAATATGAGGATTGAGTAGACAACTGAGTCAACCTCCAACTGCTCTCCACACCATCGGTTGAAAGACTACAAAGCAAAAAATTATAACACGTTCAAGAAGAACCCAAATAAACGTGACACATAGGTTTAAGAATAATATACACACCATTGTTTGAACTCAACGATCTCTGGCACTTTTGAATCCATGATAATCCTTGTTGTATATTTTGTATTTGTTAACCCGACCTTACCTATTGAAAAAAAACAAATAATAAACAGAATAAGATTATTTGCCAAAAAACAAAAATGTTTATTTAGAAGAAACATACCCCTAAAACATTTTATCCTTTCCAGTTGAACTATTATGATGTTATGAGGAGTGTCGCTGTTTGCCAAAAAAGATTGCACCTCATCCACATAATGCTCCCACAAAGTGCACTCCAGCTTGTGACCCCTGCACACGAGTTGCAGCAAGAAAAACTTTAATCACGAAACATATAAGATAACAGACGACAACAATTTTTTTTTACTCTAACATTTTAAATACCTCATGTTGTCAAGCTCCAACACCACCATTTTGGTTTTCTTACCAGAAACCACACGATCACAAACTTCCCCAATTCCTGATAGTAAACCAATGACGTCTACAAAACAAACAGGGCAGCAAAAGTCCGTGATAAAAAATGCAACAATGCTCATAACGATAAGCAGTAAGGAGAAATATATTACCCACTAAATAAGGAGAGTCAGATGATTCTTTCTCAATGATTTCATAATCAAATAAATCAAATCCACTCGCAGAAAGATTAGAATCAACAATCGATTTAACATCAGTCCTCAAGTTGAAAGACAAATGATACTGATGCCTGGTTGGCCTGAAAATATCGCTATTGAATCCAACTCCAAATTTTTTTATAAAATAACACTCTCCTTCATGGATTTTCTTCCACACCTGCAAAGAACCCTTGACAGTGGCATGGATCCGACCACCCTACAAAAAAGCGCAAACAAATGATGTCAACAACGTTAAATAAAATGATCAGAAGAGAGATGGAAGACTTAAAAACTGCAGACAACTACCTGTTCATCCATCAAAACCATTTCAACATTGTCGTAAAAATTATTACGTTGAAAGTTAGGAACTTTCCAAGCCCGAACCACCTTCACCTTAATCCTCCAATCCTCCTTGGCAGGACTGACATCCTTCAGAAAATCATATTTTGAAAACATTATTTGGTAAGATGAAAAAAGAGAGAAGCACGACGCGATTTAGTTGAGGAAGCAATGGGCAAACAGCTGATATTTGGCAGCAGCAAAAAAAGAAAAATCAACAGAAGCAACAGAGGAAAAATCGTCCCCCAAGCGTTCCTATTTTATACACAATAGAAATAATTGTGTTTTTTCAATTTCTTCAACAAATCCAATGCAGAAGGTAGCTCAACATTAAATGAGTTCCCTGCCACCATTCACAATTCACAATTCAAAAATCAAATTTAAAATTTCAAGTTAAAATTCAAATTCAAATTTAGAAATTTGTAGAAAGCAGAGAATCATTAAATGAGCTGTCTGCCACCAACATTTATAACAAATCTTGACCATTCATTTAAATTCTGAAATCTTGTCCATCGATTACAATTTGAAAAATCGATTTTTGTTTTATATTTATTTTATTCACTGATTTACCAAAGAAGGAAAGATTTTTTATAATTTTGCAGTGTGAACACAAACTGAAAGTGAAGGAGAAAGAGACACGTCAGCGAACTTGCCAAAGAATGACATTCCTTTAAAATATAAGATGTTGTAGGACTTTTTTAGTGTCACGTTACTCTAATACTTTTGATGTGGGTCTCACTCAAAAAGAAAAAAGAAAAAAGAAAACAAGGCGGGTCCCATTTGTCATGTGAGAGTAACATGACACTTAAATGATATGTATAAAACCCTTAAATGAAACATGAGAATATTGGATTAAATTATACTTTCGCTTTTTCTACCGTTAATGTAGATAATTTATCTACATTGAGCCCAAAATGATATATTTTTGAGGCAGAATCAAGATATTTTTGTAATTGTAATTTATTTCAAAGTTATAATGGTCTTTTTTATTTTAATTTTTGAACCCAAAACGACGTCGTTTTGGGAATCAATATAGATAACTTATCTACATTCACTGTAGAAATATTAGGGCTCGTTTGGTGGACATGATAGGATAAGAATAGGATATGATATGGAGCTGATAAGGATAAGATATGATATGAGGCTAATAAGCCTATATGATATCATGTGTTTGATGGGCACCTGATTAGCAATATGATAAGATTATGTAGAAGGAGAAAGGAAAAAAAAGAAGGAAATATAATGCAATAAATACAAATATATTGGGTAGGTGAGAATTTATTGAGTATTTAATATTGATATCCTATCCTATTGAATCCTAACCCAGCTCCCTCATAGGATAAGAAATCATACATTTGATAGGATAAAATGAGACAATAGGATAAGCTAATCATATCTTATTGACCCACCAAACAAGAGATAAGAGTAGGATATGATAAATTATCTTATCCTATCTTCCTTATCAGGTGCTCCAAACAGGCCCTTAAAGTTTAAATTATAAGGGTTAAATGTCTCTTATAGGAGATAAAATTATTTTATATATATATATATATGTATATATAATATCATATTTTTTTTTTTTTTTTGACATAACCTCACTTAGGTCTCGCACTCTTAGATAAAAAACATCACGTCCAAAATATAAAAAGAGTTTTATGTTTATCATTTAACATAATATAACTTTACTTTCCTACACACATTAAAGAGATGAGGTCCACATATTTTTCTTTCTCTTTCATCATTCCACTTTCTCTCTCCCTTTTGATGTGAGAGTTAGAAACAACACTTACGTTATGTTACATAACACTAATAAAACCCATATAAAAATGATAATTTATTACGATCGTAACGCTAGCTTAAAAGAAGAAGGATGCAAAGACTGTAAACGAAGCGTTTAGATTTAAGAAGAACAGAAGATGCAGCTTCGTCCATCTTGCTTCCTCTATCGTATTCCTTTCCTATCGCGTTAGGGTTTCCAGAAATTCAATTTCCCTTCATTCCTTCAGCGTCCGTAGGCGTAGCATCTCGCAATTCCTCCGTTGTTTGGTATTCGTAATTGTTCAAATCGAAAAAATCGGGCCTCAAGGTATGATATTTCATTACCTGAAATGCAATTTGTTGTTAATTGTGTTACATCCGCGATGTCGTATCATCAATTTCTACGAAAATTCAAATAAAACAATTTTTTTTTTCAGTATCATTCAAATGTTTGTGAATATTATTTTTGTGCAAATTAGTACGATTATGAATTAATTTTTTGTGTGCCTGTAACCTACATTGTGAGTTGCGACACGTACCTTTGTTCAACAATTATGATCCCTGTTCCCCCTAAGTTATTCACTTGAGTTGCTGCTGAGGCATGAATATTTGTTCTCTAATAATTTTCATTTTCTTAATGTTCCCAGGGAACTGAATCTTTGGTGCATTTGAATTTGAATAGCATGCGCATATAATAAAGAAAAAAATGCAGGCTGAGACGCAAATCTCGCTTGATTCGAATACTCAACTTTGTCCAGAGACTGTTGTTTCAATTCAAAATGGGGATCCTGGTGTTTCCTCGTCTCTTGCAAATGCTGTCATGCCTCAGCAGCCAGGTTAGTCTTTTCCCTTAATTGTTATTTTTTTTATTTTGAGTACAATTAGACTTTGTGCTTTGGAAGGGGAACCTTGGCGCAACAGTATGTGTTGTTGCCATGTGCAGCCTCTTGCAAATGCAAGGTAAGGCTGCTAATGACCCATTGCTTTGATGCTTGAGGCATGTGATTGTTGAGAAGTAAAGGTTTCACAGTTTAACTCTTGCCTTCATTTATAGCTCCGAAAAAACCAACCCGGCAGTGGGCTGCTTGGACTCGTCAAGAGGAGGAAAGCTTCTTCACTGCACTACGGCAAGTTGGAAAGGTGTGTTTATCTTGGTTATTATTACCTTTGTGTGTTTGTTTCTTTTGGTAACAGAATAATTGCTAATCACGATATCCTTTGAACCTAGAATTTTGAGAAAATCACTTGCCGTGTACAAAGTAAAAACAAGGATCAGGTATCCATCATTATGATGCTTTTTTACCATTTCAGTTTTCCCTTTTTTATTTTTTTTTCTGAAAATGATGATGTTTGAGATTTATGGCTGATAATGTCATGGCTTGTTTTTCTTTTCTCCCTCTCTTTTTCTCGTGGTGGCTGACTTGCAGGTCAGGCATTATTACTATCGGCTTGTGAGACGGATGAACAAGCTTCTTGGTCCAGGATTATGTTTGGATGCTAAAAACTCAAAAGATACTAATGCTGCAATGCTTCGTTGGTAATATAATTTACTCAGAGTAGTTGTTTGTCAAATGGGTTATATCTATAGTGGAAGACGTAGACTAGCATTTTTTGCATTTTATTTATGTCAAACAAGATTATCAAACCGCAATAAAATTGTGAATCATCTAATTTTTTAATCGTGAATCTTAAGAGGGAGTGAGTGACTATGTGAATCCCCTGTTTTAGAAGAATGAAAACATGCAATGGAATAATCAAATGAGGTGCATTCAGTAGTACTCCTGTAGTTCCTTTTCATTTAGTAATTTAATCTTCTTTGACTTTTAAATTTCTTTTATGAGAATTGATGAATGGAAAGCAAAAAAGAAAAAATAAATTAATGAATCATTGAATCATGTGCTTCGTATCAGTGATACAGAATAGCACCGATTCTTGCATATATCGTATGATTGAAGGCCATCTCCTGTTCATCACATGATACGAATTGCTGACTTGCAAAATCATATCAAATTGTGAGATTTGAATTGCAAATCGTAAGATTCTAAAACTATGATGTCAAATAGATCAAGGGTGTATGTTGGAGCATTGATGCAGAACTGGAATTTAGTTGATTTTGTAGGATACTTGTAAGGAAAATAATGAAAAGAACTAGTTGATATTGGGAGGAGAACATGACTCTTAAGTGAATCATGAAATATCTGAAACTCTTATTTGAAGAGAGATTATTACATTTCTACAACATTTCACATTGCTTGGGTTGAACTCTTCTCTGATGACTGAAAAGTGTATTAGGACTTTTACCAGGCTATCAGCATCAAAGATCCTATGCTACGAAAATGTGGGGAATGTTTTAAAGGGCATATTTCTTCAAAGAGAACTAATTGAGTTTCTGATTTGAGTTTAATTTTGATGCAATATTATGTAAAAGAGTTTTACACCATCATCCAATGATGTGTTGCCCATCATTTAATGAGTTCAACTATGTAACAATTACATGAGATGTCAAACTCATTAAATGATATGGTGATAGAGCCCTGCTACGTAAGGCCCAACTTCAACAAGTCTACAGCAGAGACAAATATAGAAGAAGAGGACTCAATGCAAAAGAGCCCAATACGAAAGAGCCCAATACTAAGCAGATGGAGGTTGAGCCAGTGGCAATAGAGGCCAAGGCAACGTTGTTAGAAAATGCTGAGTCAGCTGGAGGTTAGAAGAGAACGTGGGGGCAACAATTCAGTTAGCAAGGGATGGGTATTAGTAGAGTGAGGAGCAGGAAAGAGAGGCACCAAGGGGTCATATTGTTATGAGTGTTTTGAGAGTCAGCAAGGGTTGCTCTTGTTATTTTCTTTCTTCTGTAATTTCTTTTCCTTCAAGCATTGATCCATAGCACACTATGGAGAACCAGATGCATTGTTCTTTGAATTGTTGTTATTTTGAGTTGTGATTAATACAAGAGTAATATTCAGTACAATTTTTTGTTAATTTACACCAGTTTATCAAAAATATACAGTACCTTATCTGCTAAGTTTACGTAAATTCGTATCAAGTGGTATCAAAGCTCCGACTGGGAGCTGGGTTATGGTAAGAACGCGTAACATGGAAGGAATGGAGGAAAGACTGAGACGAGGAGAACGGAACCAAGAAGAGTTAATGAGACGCATGGATGCTAATGATACCAATCAAGCGGAAATTATTCGCCAACTACGAGAACTAGGCGCAGGTATGGAGCAACTCCGTTCGGATGAGTTCCGCAGCAGGGGAAGAAACGGTTCTGAAGCCTCTCATGGTAGTCACCGAGGGGGAGGAAACATGGATCATCGGGTGAGGAAACTGGATGTACCAATTTTTTCAGGTGAAAATGCGTATGCGTGGCTTAGCAAAGTGGAGCGGTATTTCCAGGTGAATGGAGTGGAGGAAGAAGACAAGGTGCCCACTGTGATGTTAGTATTAGAAGGTGAAGCCCTGAATTGGTATCGTTGGTGGGAGCTGGATAAATCAACGGCGGCGTGGGGGCAATTCCGGCGTGAGGTGTTGTGCCGATTTCAACCGGAGCTCCTGGATAATCCGTATGGACCTCTGTACGCGTTGAAACAGACGAACTCGGTGCAAGTATTCAGAAACGAATTTGAGACGGTGGTAGGGACGATGCGCTACATGGATGAGGAGATGTTGAAGGGGGCTTGGCTGAGTGGGCTCAAGCCTAGTATCCGTCAAGAAATTCTGATGACGCCTGGGCTCAGTTTGGCTTCTATGTTAAAAATGGCCCAACGAATTGACCAAAGGGATGCGGCCTGGATGGATGAAGGGGTGGGGTATTTTGGGCCTAAGGGTTTGAATGGCCCAGTTCGCAATAATGGGCAAGTCAGTTACTCTAAGGGAAGTTTTATTAGAAATTCAGGCCCTCAAACATCAGCCCTAAACCAAGTGCCCTAACCGGTGGAGAGGCAGCCGCCGCGTCTCAGGGCAGCTCTACGTCGGTCCAGGGTGGTTTCCGGCGGATTTCTAACGCGGAGGCCGCGGACCGGCGAAAACGCGGCCTGTGTTTTCATTGTGAGGACCGGTGGACACCAGAGCATCGTTGTTCCTCTCGTCAACTTCACCTATTGATCATGGACGATGGTGACGAAGATGAGGCGCACAACGTTGGCAGGGACTCCGAAATGGTCTTGGAGCCCGTCAAAGAACCAGATGAGTCACCGTTACAGCTCACGTTGCATAGTATTATGGGCCTCACCTCCAATCAATCGATGAAAGTGTGGGGGGAAGTCGAAGGAGAAAGGCTGGAGGTGCTTATTGACTGTGGGGCCACCAGCAACTTCGTGAAGGCTGAGGTTGTCCAGCGTCTTGGGCTAACGGTGGATGAGACTCCTTCGTTCAATGTTGTAGTTGGAGACGGACACAAGGTGGAATGCCGTGGTGTGTGTAGAAGGGTGAAGGTCAGAGTTCAGGAGCATGATATCGTGCAGGATCTCTTTCTCTTCGCGCTAGGGGGTGCTGACATTGTCCTGGGGTTGGATTGGCTGAGGGAATTAGGGGAAATCAGAGCTAATTTTCGGGAAATGACACTTAGATTTGGGGAACCAGGGAAGGAGAATGGGAGATCCCACCCTGTCCAGAACCCTTTCTTCTCTTAAGCCCATGACTAAGGCCCTCAAGCAAACTGGACAAGGTTATTTTGTGGCTAAGGAGGACCAGAATATGGAAGAGACTCTCGAGGACAGCATTTTTCCTCAGGGGTGGAAGGAGTTGGGGAAGTTGTTGGAAGATTTTGGGGATTTGTTTGCTCGGCCAAATGGAATCCCCCCTCAGAGGACCAGAGACCATGCAATTATCTTGAAATCAGGGAGTCAGGTGACCAATAGTCGTCCTTACAGGTACCCGTATTATCCAAAGTCTGAAATTGAAAAAATGATTGCTGAACTTTTAAGTGATGGGTTCATCAGGCCTAGTGTGAGCCCTTATTCAAGCCCTGTCATCCTGGTAAAGAAAAAAGACGGTAGTTGGAGAGTGTGTGTGGACTATATAGGGCGTTGAACAAAATGACGGTGCCAGACAGGTTCCCAATTCCAGTGGTTGAGGAATTGCTCGATGAACTAGGGGGTTCTAAGCTGTTCAGCAAGCTGGACTTGAAATCTGGATATCATCAGATCAAGATGAGGGAGGAAGACATTCCCAAGACCGCATTCCGAACCCATGAGGGGTACTACGAGTACTTAGTGATGCCATTTGGCCTCACTAATGCTCCCTCAACCTTCAATGCGCTTATGAATGAGGTATTAAAGCCCTTTTTACGGAAGTTTGTGTTGGTTTTTTTGGATGATATCTTAATTTACAGTGAGAACGCCTTGGAACATCTTGAACATCTCAACTTGGTCTTTTCGGCTTTAAGGAAACATCAGCTGTTTGTGAACAAAAAAAAAATGCAAACTGGGGCAGAGTCAAATTGAATACCTGGGACACTTCATTACTGCAAAGGGTGTGAGTGCTGATCCCAGCAAAATCATGGCCATGACCAAGTGGCCAAGCCCGAAGAATGTGAAGGAGTTGAGAGGCTTTCTGGGGCTCACGGGATACTATAGGAAATTTGTTCGGGATTATGGGAAAATTGCTCAATCCCTGACTCAACTACTCAAGAAAGATGGGTTTAAGTGGGATGAAACGTCAGAGGAAGCTTTTCAGATTTTAAAGAAAGCTATGACTATGACGCCTGTATTGTCTTTGCCCGATTTTTCTAAACAGTTCACAGTTGTCACCGATGCCTCAGGGAAGGGTATAGGGGCAGTCCTAATGCAAGAGGGCCGACCATTAGCCTATCTGAGTCAAGGATTCTCCAATGCTGCTCTGTCTAAATCAGTGTATGAAAAGGAATTGATGGCCATTGTCTTTGCGGTGAAGAAATGGCGTCATTATTTGCTTGGGCACCATTTTGTAGTCAAAACTAACCAAAAAAGTCTCAGGTTTCTGTTGGATCAATCTGTGTTAGGAGAGGAACAACAGAGGTGGACTTCCAAGTTATTGGGGTACGATTTTGAAATCCAGTATCAACCTGGTAAAGAAAATGTGGTGGTAGATGCTCTTTCGCGGACAATGTGGTACTCCTCTATCTCTCAAGTTCAGCTGCCTGAATTAGAGGAGGTGGACAGTGAAGTTCAGCGTGATCCCAAGCTGCGTGCAATGGTACAGGCGCTGGTGCTGCAATCAGATGCTTATGAAGGGTTTAAACTGGAAGGAGGTAGACTTTTTTACAAGGACATGTTAGTGCTCTCTTCTTCCTCTAGATTTATTCCCTTGATCATGCATGAGTTCCATGACTCGAATGTGGGTGGGCATTCGGGTTTCTCTCGCACTTACAAGGTATTGGGCCTTGTATATTGGGAAGGAATGCGCAAGTTTATTCAGCAGTATGTTAAGGAGTGCTCGGTATGCCAACAAAACAAGGTTCTAAATTTGTCTCCGGCGGGTCTTCTTCAACCGTTACCTATCCCCACACAAGTGTGGTCTGAAATCTCCATGGATTTTATCGGAGGGCTCCCTCGAGCGTTTGGAGTTGATACTATTTTTGTGGTGGTTGACCGGTTAACGAAGTACGCTCATTTTATGACTTTATCTCATCCTTATTCAGCAAAGCAGGTGGCTGAACTGTTTATTAAGGAAGTGGTGCGTTTACATGGTTTTCCATTGACCATAGTCTCGGATAGAGACAAGATTTTTTTGAGCAGGTTTTGGTCCGAGTTATTCAAGGCTGCAGGGACCAAATTGCATTATAGTACGGCCTATCATCCTCAGTCGAATGGCCAAACGGAGGTGGTCAATCGGGGTTTGGAAACTTATCTCCGTTGTTTTTGTGGGCCTAAACCGAGAAGCTGGCCTAGGTGGTTACATTGGGCTGAGTTCTGGTACAATACTACATACAAGGAATCAACGGGGATGACACCGTTCAAGGTACTCTATGGAGCTGAACCCCCTCATTTGTTAAGAGTGGGGAACAGTTTTTTACGAATGGATGCGGTCTCATCATTGCTGGCTGAGAGAGAAGTCATACTTGAGGAGCTAAAGACATCTTTAGAAAAGGCCCAAAATCGTATGAAGGTTCAGGCGGATAAACACCGCAGGGATGTGCAGTTTGAAGTTGGAGATAGAGTGTATCTCAAGCTGCAACCATACCGGCTTAAGACTTTAGCAACCAGAATTAATGAAAAATTGAGCCCAAGGTTCTATGGGCCTTTCTTGGTAGAGGAAAAAATTGGGTCAGCTGCATACAAGTTATCTTTACCTGCCGGGTGTAAAATTCACCCGGTTTTTCATGTTTCATTACTTAAGAAGGCTGATCCATTAGTGCAAAATCATCAGCCTTTACCTTCAGTTTTGTCCGCTGATTGGGAATTACAGGTTAGGCCTGCTGAGATTTTAGATTGGCGTCGGGATGCTCAGGGCCATGTTCAGGTTCTTGTCAAGTGGTTGGGGTTGCCTGACTTTGAAAACTCTTGGGAAAATTTTGTCACTTTGGATGCCCAGTTTCCAGAACTGCACCTTGAGGACAAGGTGCTCTTGTTGGGGGGGAGTATTGATAGAGCCCTGCTACGTAAGGCCCAACTTCAACAAGTCTACAGCAGAGACAAATATAGAAGAAGAGGACTCAATGCAAAAGAGCCCAATACGAAAGAGCCCAATACTAAGCAGATGGTGGTTGAGCCAGTGGCAATAGAGGCCAAGGCAACGTTGTTAGAAAATGCTGAGTCAGCTGGAGGTTAGAAGAGAACGTGGGGGCAACAATTCAGTTAGCAAGGGATGGGTATTAGTAGAGTGAGGAGCAGGAAAGAGAGGCACCAAGGGGTCATATTGTTATGAGTGTTTTGAGAGTCAGCAAGGGTTGCTCTTGTTATTTTCTTTCTTCTGTAATTTCTTTTCCTTCAAGCATTGATCCATAGCACACTATGGAGAACCAGATGCATTGTTCTTTGAATTGTTGTTATTTTGAGTTGTGATTAATACAAGAGTAATATTCAGTACAATTTTCTGTTAATTTACACCAGTTTATCAAAAATATACAGTACCTTATCTGCTAAGTTTACGTAAATTCGTATCATATGGCAATTAATAGAAATTTGGAATTAACAGTAGAAATAAGGGAGACTAAGCTCCTTATAAGCAAAGGTAGCCCTCTGTTTAAGACTAAAATTGAAAGAGAAATGAAGAAAAAAGGAGAAAATAACAAGGGAAATTCTGCAGATGCTCAGAATCTCTCCAATCTCTTGCAAGTCCTTTCCACCTCACTCAATTCATGCCTGCTTCCCTTTCCCCTCCTCCCATTTTATTCCTCCGTTTTGCTCCTAACCTCCTAAACAATTCCCTATCTTTTTTCCCAATGTCCCACCTGCTATGTGGACTGGTGTTTACAGTTCAAATCCCCTTGCTGACTCCCAATTCCCTCACTAATTATCTTAGTCAGTTACTTGTGCTAAGCAGTCTTCTCCTTCTACTATGAATCCTAGTAATGGGTGAGTATCTATCAGCAGCACATCATTGGATTATAATGTAAAACTTTTATACATTGAGAGTGCATTTTCTAATTGTATCATCTTATAGTAATTTCCTGCATAAGAATTGGGGTATACTACTATTGTTGTAGGATTTGTTTTTTCATTGAAAGTTTTTCATTCAATGATAGAGATGCTCTCTTCTCAAATTATCTAACCTGTGACACAGGTGGTCTTTATTAGAAAAGTACAGCTGCAAAGCCTCAAAGCTTCACCTAAAGCCCCGAAGGTTTAAAATATTTTTAGAAGCCTTGGTTAGTCAAGACTATTTATATTTTTCTGGGAATTTTTATGTTTTTATTTTTGATATATTCAGTATGTGCTGGAGCTGAGCTATATTTTTTGCCATGAAGGAGCGCCAACTTTTGAAGGACCGGAAGAAGAATGTAAGGAAGCGACCTTCGCAGGGAGCAAATTGTCTTCTTCCTGCTCCTAACACAGTCTCAAATCAAAGTAAAGCATCAGGAAATGATGCCCGTGCAGTTAAACTGGTACTTGTTGACAGTCAAAATATGTTAAAACTAGGACCTTCAAGACCATCATTGAAGCGCAATGTAAACATGGGTGTTAGCCGTAGTAACAGTAAGGGAGATTCAAATACCATGAAACCTACAAGGCAACGAAAGAAATCTGGTGATTCTTTTTCAATCCCCTTGAGATCTTTTACCAGTTTTCTATTTTAAACTATTTTTTCCTTTCATGATAATATGTATTTAAAGTAAATTTACTTATGTTAATGGTTTGTTTTTCCTTTTATAATAAGGAATTTCTTATGTCTCTCTCTACCAGGAACGACAGCTGCATATAAAAAATGGGAGAAGGCTGCAATTGCTGGTGTTTCTTTAGTTGCAGATGCTGCTGAGCATTTGGAGCGAGCTTCCACCACCAAGGAGGTTGAACCTGACCAGGAGAATCCAGGTAGCTATCACAGTGATAGTTTTATCAGATCCTTGCTCCCATAAGGACTTTCTTGGGGTCTTCTGTGACTTCAGACTGATTTTTATATGTTCATTCCAGGAGAACAATGTTCTGATCCTGCTGATTATGTACTTCCCACTTTACCCACATTTCCACAAAATCACTTTGTTGATAACAATGTGCAGAATATTATGAAAGTTAAGCTCCAGTTATTCCCAATTGATGAACCTACTCGAAGAGCCTTGGAAATGGTGAGTATGAAAGAAAACTGACACACACCTTACTGTAGCAATGTAAAAGTGCTTTTAACAACTGTAAATTCATGTTTTTTTTCCTTTCCTTTTATTCCCTAGGATAAGCATAATCCGTACCTGGAGCTTACATTTAGTACACGAAAGAAGATATCATCAATTTTAGAGCATCTAAACCGTAAATGGGGTAATTCAAGCATAGCAATTGGAGAATTAATGCTTTTTCCTTATAATATTCAAAGGGAAAACTTGGTTAATTATCAGAGATGGACCCAGGAATCTACTCTTAGTGCAGCAGATATATATGCAATGCTTGGAAGCCCGCCCATATTCCGTTTAAGGTACCTTTTTTCCATGTTGCTCTTTTGGCTTCCTTGTTATATCTTGTTAGAATATTAGATATGATATGATTAGATTTGATTAGATATGATTGGATTCTGTCTTATCCGTAAATAGTCTGACTGTATTCTGACTGTATTAGGATTAAGTTTGGATTAGGTTTGGGCCTTACACTTAAGCCCATTAGGATCTCTATATATTGTAACTCCCTGACACAGATCAATACACAACGTATTCTTTTACATTTCACTTGGTATCAGAGCTTTTTCGCTCTGGGGATCCGCTTCCGCTAAAACCCTAAGCCCACTGCTTAGGTGTTCTCTTCTACTTTACCGTGCATTCTTCCGGCGAGTTTCTCTCTAAGCCGTGTGTCTCTCCGGCTTGTTTCTTCAACTGTCAGAACCACTTCCCGCCGCCAACAACCGCCGCTCGTCACTGTTCAGGCCACCGGAACCACTTCCGGCCGCCAACAACCGCCGCTCGTCACTGTTCCAGCCACCAGAGCACTGTTCCGGCGAGTTTTCAGCCCAGACTACCTGCAATCAGGACCGTCTCATCCCGGCGACCAGTTCTGTGGTGGTCCGACCACCGTCGCGTCATCAACGCGCCTCCACGCGCCGTTCTTCTCCTCTGCGCGTGGTGCTCACGCGCCACCTTCAACCGGCGCGTGTGCACTGTTCCGGTGGATTTTTCCGGCCGTTCTTGGACAGAACTTCTCGCCTTCTTCTCCTCTTTCTGGATCTGTGCTTGGTTCTTTGTGGGTCTCACTTTAGACGCGTGGTTCTCCTTGATTGGATATCGTTTGCCTTCGTTTACGGCTTTTATATTCTGTTTTTAAATGGCAGCAGCGTCCACTGATCTCTCGGAGGATTCTACCTCTCTTGCTGCGAATATAGCTCAGTCAGACAATGCATCATTTGGTTCAGTTTCTCTCTCACTTGCGGACTATGCTGCACTCCAAACTCTTCTCAAGAAAGCTTCTCCTCAGTCTCAACCATATACTGGTAATCCCGTTGCTTGTGTTTCTCATTCTACATCACTTGGCACTTGGATATTTGACTCAGGTGCTACCGATCATCTCTGTGGTAATAAGGAACTTTTTACATCTCTTACTTATTCTGATCATTTACCTTCTTTTACCCTTGCGGATGGAACCAAAGCCCCAGTTCGTGGGATTGGACAAGCTCGTCCGACCTCTACCTTGGCCTTGACATCTGTTTATTACATTCCTGGCATCCCTTATAACTTAATTTCTATTAGTAAGTTGATCCATTCCCTCACTTGCACCATTACTTTCTCTAACCATTCTGTTTCTGTGCAGGATCCGGGTACGGGGGAAATGATTGGAGTGGGTCGTGAGTCACGGGGGCTTTACTATCTGGATGTGCCTCGTCCTTCAGTGGCACTCTCTCTCACAGAATCTCCACAACTTATCCACAGTCGCCTCGGTCATCCAAGTCTTTCGAAGTTGCAGAAAATGGTTCCTCTTTTATCCGGTCTTCAGTCTTTAGATTGTGTGTCATGTCAACAAGGGAAGCATACACGTTCCTCTTTTGCCAATCGAGTCAATAAACGAGCTGATGCCCCTTTTTCTCTTGTTCATTCAGATATCTGGGGTCCAAGTCGTACCTTGTCTGTTTTAGGTTTTCGGTATTTCGTTACCTTTATTGATGATTTTTCCCGTTGCACTTGGGTCTATTTAATGAAAAATCGTTCTGAGTTATTTTCCATTTATAAAAAGTTTTATACTGAGATTCATACTCAATTTGGTGTTTCTATTCGTATTCTACGTAGTGATAATGCTAAGGAATATGTTTCTATTGATTTTTCTAATTTCTTGGCCACACAAGGTACTTTACATCAAACTACTTGTCCTCACACTCCACAACAAAATGGGGTGGCTGAACGTAAAAACAGACATCTCATTGAAACTGCACGTACCCTTCTTCTTCATATGCAGGTTCCCCTTCACTTCTGGGCAGATGCTGTACTCATCTCTTGTTTTCTCATCAATCGCATGCCCTCATCTGTGCTCAACAATGACATTCCTCATAACCTATTGCTTCCAGATGTTCCTCTTTATCCTCTAACTCCACATGTCTTTGGTTGTACTTGTTTTGTTCATAATCTCACTCCTGGTAAGGATAAGTTAACATCCAAAGCCTTTCAGTGTATCTTTCTTGGTTATTCTCGTCTTCAAAAGGGTTATCGTTGTTATTCTCCCGATCTTAAGCGTTACTTAGTTTCCGCTGATGTCACTTTTCTTGATCAACAACCCTTTAATTCTATTCCATCTCAGTTGTCACAGGTTGATCATGTTCTTCCTGTCCCTTTTCTTGACTTGTCTTTGCCAGCTGCAGGTGCTTCTATTCCAAATGAGCAACCTATTGCTTCTATACCTGAGGACCGTCCACTTCTCACCTATCAACGTCGCAAAACTATGCCTCCTGTCGACTCGACTCTTGCTGACTCATCGCCCACTGCTGTTGCTTCTTCCTCTCCGGATCCTTCACCAGAGGCTCTTCCCATTGCTCAAAGAAAAGGTACTCGTACTACTCGTAATCCTTATCCTCTTTATACTTTTTTGAGCTATGACCGTCTTTCTTCACCTCATTTCACCTTTGTTTCTAGTCTTTCTTCTATTTCTATTCCTAAGACCACAGGTGAAGCACTTTCCCATCCAGGGTGGCGCCAAGCGATGCTTGATGAGATGACTGCACTTCATTCCAATGGCACTTGGGACCTTGTTTCTGCTCCTCCACAGAAGTCTACAGTTGGTTGTCGCTGGGTGTTTACTGTGAAAGTTGGACCTGATGGCCATGTTGATCGACTCAAGGCCCGCCTAGTTGCAAAGGGTTTTACTCAAATATTCGGCCTTGATTATAGCGATACATTCTCTCCGGTCGCTAAGATGGCGTCCGTCCGCCTATTTCTTGCCCTTGCTGCTGTTCGTCACTGGCCACTCCTTCAACTTGACATAAAAAATGCCTTTCTTCATGGTGATTTACAAGAAGAAGTTTACATGGAGCAACCACCTGGTTTTGTTGCTCAGGGGGAGCCTGGGAAGGTGTGTCGTCTTCGAAAATCCTTATATGGTCTCAAGCAGTCTCCTCGAGCATGGTTCAGTCGCTTCAGTTCTGCTGTTCAGGAGTTTGGCCTAATTCGCAGTAAAGTTGACCACTCTGTGTTCTATAGGATCACATCTCCTGATAAGTGCATCTATTTGTTAGTCTATGTTGATGACATCATTCTCACCGGGAGTGATCAAGACGGAATCCATCAGTTAAAACAACATTTATTCAGTGCATTTCAAACAAAGGACCTTGGGAAGCTGCGTTACTTCTTGGGAATTGAGGTAGCACAATCTAGACAGGGCATTTCTATCTGTCAAAGGAAGTATGCCTTGGATATCCTAGAAGAGTCTGGTATGTTGGCGTGTAAGCCAGTTGATACACCAATGGATCCTAATGTTAAGTTATTGCCCAGACAGGGGGAGCCGTTATCTGATCCTGGACGTTATCGAAGGCTGATTGGGAAGCTCAATTATCTTACTGTGACTAGGCCAGATATTTCTTTCGCTGTCAGTACGGCCAGTCAGTTCCTTGATTCCCCTTGTGATTCACATTGGGATGCTGCTGTGAGGATCCTCCGATACATCAAAGGAGCACCAGGAAAAGGTTTGTTGTATTCGGATCAGGGAAATACAGAAATTTGTGGTTACTCAGATGCCGATTGGGCAGGATCACCCTCGGACAGACGCTCTACTTCTGGTTATTGTGTCTTCTTCGGAGGAAACTTAATCTCATGGAAAAGCAAGAAACAACCTGTTGTTTCCCGATCTAGTGCAGAAGCTGAGTATCGTGCAATGGCAAATACTACCTGTGAGTTGATCTGGTTAAAGCAGTTGATTCAGGAGCTTCATCTTTGTGAACAGAAACAACCCATGACACTCATCTGTGATAATCAAGCTGCGCTACATATATCCTCTAATCCTGTTTTTCATGAGAGGACCAAACATATAGAGATTGATTGTCACTTCATTCGGGAAAAGATTCAGTCAGGAGAAATCAAGACAGCTTTTGTCAACTCATCTAATCAACTAGCAGATGTTTTCACTAAAGCTCTTAGAGGTCCTCGGGTTGAATACATTTGTAACAAGCTTGGTGCTCATAATATATACGCACCAGCTTGAGGGGGAGTGTTAGAATATTAGATATGATATGATTAGATTTGATTAGATATGATTGGATTCTGTCTTATCCGTAAATAGTCTGACTGTATTCTGACTGTATTAGGATTAGGTTTGGATTAGGTTTGGGCCTTACACTTAAGCCCATTAGGATCTCTATATATTGTAACTCCCTGACACAGATCAATACACAACGTATTCTTTTACATTTCACTTATCTGAAGTAACTAAACAGTAACATGTAAGGCGATGGACTTACTTTTTATGTTTTTAATATAATCATTCAGATAAAATAACATGAATTTATTTTAATTTAATTTATTGATTAATTGGTTAATTTTTAATCATGTTTTCTGTTGAAATCTTGAATTAATGAGGGAAACATAAACAAGATAATTTTAAATGTGCAGAGTTTTAGAAAGCCATGAAATATTCTGGTATTCTATACAGAGAAGAGTGTGCTATAAATGGAAAACCATGTGGGTTACTTTACCTTCTTTATTAGAGATTTAAGATGTAGTTACATATTTATCAAGTGTTTTGAGTCCTTTATTGGTAGCAATTTAATTCAAAAATGAAATTTGGAAAGCATGCTAGAGAAAAGAAAACAGCATGAAGGGCTTGTGCGCATAGAATGAGGTTGTCTGTTTGTATCAAGCTACAAGGGATAGATTAAAAAAATATCAAATATGGAATGGAATTTGAATAAACTTGGATTTCTAGCTTTTAACTCGGTGTCGGTGGATACAAAATTTAGATCTAATTTTAACGTGGGAAAGTTGAGCTATGTAGAAATGTAAAGATTTAATAAATTCGAATATTAGAAGAAGAAATTACCCTTCTTTTTCCTTCTCTGAGAAGCCTATAACCTATACTTTGGTCAACTTTATCGGGGGAAGCTTTTGTTCTACTATATTTAGCTTGGAATGTGATCATACTTACATTTCTTTGGAAAGGTATGGTTGGTTCTCCAATAGCGAGCTTGGGTTATTAAATATGCAAGTGCAATCCAAAATCAGTGTGGACAATACTAAGGATCAGATTGTTAATTCGGCATCGCTTCTTACACCATCAACTAATAATCCTTCCATGGAGCACTCTGAAGATTGTGGAACGTCCATGAACAGAAATTCTCCTCTTACCACTACTTCAACTGATTTGCCTAATACTAGAGATGACAACGTTTACCTGAATACAAGCACTCTGGAATCTTGTGATCCTACAGCCAATATATTGTGGCATGGAAAAGATGTTAGGGATGGAGCTGTGACTAGACAGTTGGAAGAAATGGTAATTGTCATCCTCTCATTCCTTGTTCTTACTTTTATTAGACCTGAAGTGTTACTGTAGATTTTCATCTTTTGTGTCACAGGATCTTGAAGTGCCGCTGTATTTTGCTCTGTTGGCTCTTATGATATAAATTTTCTCATTTCACCTTGTGATCTTTGACATAACCCCCTCTCCCCAGCCCTTTTTAGATTTTTATGCTCCAATTAAGCATTGCATTTAAGATTCTTACTAGCGTATATTAACTTACTGTATTTGTTTGGTTAATTAAGTTGCATAATGTGTCATTACTAGCATCCATGTCTATATGCCATTGTTTAAACTTTAATTTCCTTGTATGTGTTCAGGATGAGTTGAAATTAAGCAGCGGAACAGGACTGTCAGCTAGTGAGTGGGCTGACAGCCTTACCAACATTAGTGTAGGGGACCTACTCTCAGGAGTGTCCCAGGATCATGAAGATAACCGCATTGATCCTCCTATTGCTGAGAATTGTCACAGTGTTCAGCAAATTCCTTTTAGTAGTGATTCTTTTGATGCTGCTATTGCTGCTCACATAGCTAGACACCAGATCAAGACGGGACAACCAACTCCGGTATTGCATATGTCTTCCATCTGGGATGCCGAAGAAACATGTGATGCTTTCTTATTTAAAAAGGATCCTATTCTTCGTGAAGATGGTCCTTCTTTATCTCCCATCGAGTCTGAGAAAAAGGTTTCTGGAAGAAGCTTTGAGAATTTGGATAAGGTAGTATTTCTTTACACTTGTCTACTCTTGCTTGCAAAGTGAAATAAGGTTTAATTTTCATAGTTTTTATGGCAGCTGTCACCTGAAAAAGAAAGGCTTGGGGATGATTTTGCTCAAACAGACCCTCCTCTGCCTATGGACAGTTGCGAGTCTGATGCAGATATCCAAGATCATTTAACAAAGGATTTCAGTGGGCTAGCTGATATATATTGGGTATTTTTCTTTCTATAGTCCAGTTTTTATCCCTGTCAATGTCCATACAAACATGTTTTATCTCATGGAAGTAAACATGTTTTGAACTATCTATCAAAATAATAAATCTATGAACTTAAAAAATTTTAATTGTTATATTCATTAGAAAGATTGAACTGTTTTTTTTGCTTTTCATACTTATATTTTGGTAGTGTCTTAATGACATAAGTTTTGGGAGTACATAATATACAATACATCTAACTTTATTTCCCACCTCATTTTTCATTTCTATTCTATTGCAGCCTGATTCTTTGGGACCGTTGGATTTGGATACACCATCAACTAAGTACCATAGCAATGATCTAATTTTAAGTGATAGTCTTAGCGGACTGAATCGCTTGATAGCCAGCAGCCTAGATGCATTCCAGAATTGCTCCTTTTTTGGGTTTGACAAGAAGGAAGCACCATCAACAGTTGAGGCCCGAGAAACTGCCACTCTTTCAGATTTTAAAATTGGAAGTGGTATCTGAGACCCGACATGATGGGATCTTGGTAAAGTTTTCTGTTTCCGGATGAACTTTTCTGGTTGAAGTTTGTTAAGAATAACGTTTTCTCTTAAACTGACTAGAGGTGTGCTTGCTGAAGAATTGGTTTGAGCCACTTCAATTCTTCCTGTATATGTTTCTCTAATCTGGGTCTCTTCCTTTTGTACAAAAAAAAGGTCATGGAAGGATTTCACTGTATCAGTCTCTCGTTCGGTTCTCTCAGCTTCTGTAGAAATAACCTTTTTAAAGTAAACATATCCCTTCTTTTATTTTAGCTTCTGTACTTTGTATATTAAGAAAGAAGTCTTGCAACCCTATGGCATAGACTTTTTTTTTTTGGGTGATAGCTAATGGACAAGCACTATCAGTTATTTGATTATCTGATTTATTTCATTCGTTCCTTTAGTTATTTGTGGAATATAACTTGGGCCAGATACATAGCCTAAATGCATTTATCTGATTTAAAGTGATATACAAGCAATATATATTAATCCAACGCTCTTTTGGAATAAATTTTGGGTCGTTCATTTTTTTGCTAAAGTTTTAAATGATAAGGGATGAAAAAGCTCACATGCATTTATACTTTACATTTTAAGAAACTTATATGAATCGATCTTTTCTTTATTAGTTTGTAATATTTCAAATAAATATAAATGGTACGTTTTTTATAATACTTTTATTCATTGACTCAAGAAAATATATCTATTTTCATTTATATATATAAAGGTGTTAAAGAGACAAATTGAGATATTTGGTAGTTCAAATACATGTTGATCGGAATGAATATATTTCATATTTGGGATTGTTATTAAATTTATTCTCTTGGTTAAGAAAGGCCAATTTTCTGCTTATTGTATTAATAGTGCGATTAAAGCACGTTATAAACTGAAATTTTATTATGTTGTTATAAAGCACGTTATAATTTTCTATCTTATGTCAGTATTCATTATTCATATGAATATCTATTGAAGAATTAGAATTTTTTTCAATATAAAAAGCTATTATATGTTATGTTTTCTCGATACAGTTTGATTATAAACCCATCCTTTAACTTCCTACATTTTCAAAATGCATTGAAAGTGACATTTATGCACCACACCATCAATCTTGTGAATCATTATGGTAATCATATATATTTTTTTAAACGACCTTACGGGATGCGGCTTGTTCGGTTCGTCATATAAAATTCAAGACATATGGTAGGAGCACAGTAATTTTTTTGCCCCACGTCATGTTCCTATATTCGATTAAAGGCAGACAAAATAATCTATAGGAGAGGGAAACCCCAATGGTCATGACACTTATTTAATATTTAGACTATGAACTAGCATTAATGTTATTAGATGTTCATATATTATTCTCTATAATCCCAGTTAAAACAGGAAAATTAAGTTAACATTCATGTGCATATTTAAACAACATCCGTGATGAGTGCACATTTTTTAATATGATTATGTCATGTGAAACATTTTCAATTACACATTAATAGATTAACGATTACAATTTTAATGACAGAGATCATAAAATTAAATATTAAAATTAATAATTTTAATTACAAATATTTAATCTACCAATAAATGACCAATTTTTTTTTATGACATAATCACGTGAGACACCAAAAGATTTATTCTGAATTAGACCATCTTGAGGTAGTCAAAAATAGGTAAACGGACAGTTTTCTATAAACCAACAATTTATAATTTTTAAAAATAATTTTGCTTTCTCTCTCTTGGTATTGTGTACCTTGCTGTGAAATTCTCCAATCTTCGTTGGATGATATATAACGGGAAAAGACATTGAAGGTTGTTTGTCGCAAGTGAATCTTCAATAATTTTGTAATACATACTTTACCTATATTTTTTTTTTTTTGGTGAAACATACTTTACCTATTTAAATTAGAAATATACGCACTCATGAATCGTGATATTAAAAATGAAAAAAAATGAGTGAAATAATTAAGTATTTTTAATTTAAATGAATAGAGTATTCAGTATTGTATCCAAAATAAAATAAAATGAAAAGAGTATTATTAACTACCGGAATCCCTAAAAATTTATAGGTCTACCAAACTTGGCTACTCGTTGTTACTTATCACTCATGCTTGTTTGTGGAGCTGTTCGTGACTTCATTCTAGTATGCGCATTTACGCAACTCAAAGGCGAACGCAAAATTTGTTCCTACTCACATTCATTTAGAAGATATGGGGTTAGATGTGTAGCCTCACGCGCACGGAAAGTTACTGTCTGCTAAGGTTTTTTTCCACAGCTTCAACTGAAGAAATCATAAATTTGGGGATGAATCCTGTAGAATCTTCTGACAATCAGAGAAAGAGTGTCAAGAGATTGAAAAATGGAGAGGACTTTTTGAATGGGTCTATTAACGGAGGAGTACGATGGAACCCAGAAAAAGACACTACTAAATTCCTTGACAATGGAGGCATAGCCTCTTCTTACCTACACTAATACAATATAAATTACAGAAAATAAACACAAGACCTCACTCATTCTAAAGCCAAATACCTAGGCCAAAGAGATCCCAAGAGATCCTTTCCCAAAACTCCACTCCAAATATTCTGAATACATGCATCCCTCACACTCGCACACTCCCTCCTTATATCCTATTATTTAGGAATATTCTAGAATAGTTTCCATAACAAACTAACTAACTCATTATCTTAAGCTCATAACTAATTATCTCAACCCATCAATACTTCCCTTTCAAAATTCACTTTGTCCTCAAGGTGAAAGAAGGATAGGTAACGTTAAAAAAGCTTCCACCCGGATCCCATTGTTTGAAGCATATAGAACAAGTTACACTTGATCCCACTGCTCTCTTGCAAATTGTTGCAGCTCCCTTTTCCTTTAGTGCTCTTCTTCTGATAAAGTATTGACCCACAAAATATGCTATGTTTTCCAAGGCAATTTTGGCCACAAAACAGATTATAACTCCGTTGTCCCCCACGGTGTTTACCATGTCTTCCATGGAGTCGTCCCCTTCACCCAAGAATATTAAATGCAGATGTGAGTTTTGGCAGATGTGATCTGGTGCGTATGGAGCATCACCTCTAAAACAGAGATTTCTTCTCCTTCGGTTGTTCAGCTCTTTGTGCATCAAACAACAAAAAAGAGCACCTCGCCGTCCGTCTTGGCCTGTCGTCATTGACGTCGTCCGCCCTAGGTTTCCCTTTCCTCCTTCCTCACGATTCTTATTTCGATTAAGATTCACGCTACCCGCTGAAGGTGGATTGTTTCCTTCTATTTGGATTATGTATGTGTGGGCCATGGATTGCGGCCTATTTCTCCCACTTACTTTCAAATTGGACCCATTTCCTTTATTTTCATGGGTAGACAGTGCAGCTCTTCCTCCAAACCCAATACCCATTCCAGACCCAACTACGTTTCGGCCCAATACTCCACCAGTTCGGCCCAACCTTGCGTCCTTCTCCTCAACCCTCTGCTCCAGACGCATCATCTGCTCTAAATTAGTCGAACAATGGACTTTGATTTTTCCATGAATTTCTTCTTGCAGCCCCATCGGAATTGCAACTTGTACCATGTCTTCATCAGCTTCTTCTTCACCAATTTCTTTTTCTTCTTCTGCACCGTCGTCATCTTCTTCTATTTTCTGATCCGTGTCTTCTTCGTTGTTCGCTTCTTCAGCTTTCATTTCCTTTGTTTCTTTTTGTTCAACTTCTTCTACATTCTCTGCACTTTTTTTTTTCCTTCTTTTCTGTTCTCTGATCCTGCTACATCTTCCTTCTCTCTTTCTTCTTCGATTTTTTGTTCGTGTTTTGCTTCTCCTTTCATTAGAGCTTCTCGCTTTTCTTCCCAAGCATCCATGATCCTTATCATCTTCCGCATCAATTCCATGACATCCTTCGTGCTGGCCTTCTCCAATGCTTCAAGATATCTGTTGCTTTTGTTCTCCATTTTTTGTTTTTTGTTTTTTTTTTCATATCTGGACCAGAAGCACCCCTAGACTGGAAGTTCTCTGATACCAAATTGATGGAAACCAGAAAAAGACACTACTAAATTCCTTAACAATGGAGGCATAGCCTCTTTTTTCATACACTAATACAATATAAATTGCATAAAATAAACACCAAAAGACCTCACTCACTCTAAAGCCAAATACCTAGGACAAAGAGATCCCAAGAGATCCTTTCTTAAAACCCCACTCCAAATATTCTGAATACATGCGTCCCTCATACTCCCACACCCCCTCCTTATATCCTATTATTTAGGAATATTCTATAATAGTTTCCATAACAAACTAACTAACTCATTATCTTAAGCTCATAACTAATTATCTTAGCCCATCAGAGTACGATTGGGCTTTGCTCACGACAAGCAACCAGAGGTGGCAACGGAGTCTTGGGTCTATTCTTTGAATACCCTTTTCTGAATTACTTAGGTAATTTAATAAGAAATGTTTTGAAAGTAGATAGAACAACCTCTACTGGGCATAGAGGTCATTTTGCTTGAGTTTGTGTGGATTTAGACCTTTTAAAACCTCTGAGTGGAGAGTATATATGCTGGAAGGTTGCAAAATAAAATTGAACATGAAAGGTTGTACATGATTTGTCTAAATTGTTGACATTATGGGCACAACAATGAATCTTTACCTAAATTAAATATGAAGATTCTGCCCAGACCTCCCTGGTCCAAGGAGTCATAGATGATTGTTAAAAAGAAGGAAAAACTCCTGCTAACCTATGAACAAGGCCTCTTCGAATAGCAGAAAGTTTGGGGCTGATGTGAGTAATGACTATTAGCCCAACAGTCCTATCAATGATAAATGAAAAGGAAAAAGCAAGACCACCAGCTCTCATTCATTATAGAGACATACTAAAAACCTGCCCCCTTCGGGCCCTAAGTAGAACATTAGCACATCTGAAAATCAAAGGACTCTATTACTTCCTATGAAATTTAATGCTGAAGCAATGAGAAAGAAGCCCTTGGATCATATCTCTCTAAAAGCAACTCCTAATCTGGGCTAGTCCCCTAATGTTGGTCTTTTCTTTAAGGAGAGAGATCTGGAGGCTGTAGCTCATCTTTTAGCAAAGGCAAAGAGCTTTACAATTCTCCCTCTAGTATTAGGCAGGCTGATACCTCTAGTGATAAGCCTAAAACAATAGTGGTGTGCTTACATTCAAGTATTGCAAAGCTGGTCAAAGATCCTCTTAACAACCTCAGCCCAAAGCCAATCCTGGTTAATTCATAAGGGATAATTTCTGAGATTTATACCTGCAGTGACAAAAGTATAGAGGTTTGTTTAGAATGTACATAACCTCTAGATCCTTTAGACCTGCGAATTGCTAAAGAGGGGTTGAAACACTATAGTATAGATCTTGA